GTCGTAGTTTGCCTTCCTCATCAAGGATAGGACAAGGCACAATGAGGTTAACATATCTTTTCAACTTAAATTTGTAGGGTGTGCTTTTTATCCTTTTGAAATAAATTTTAGGTACATTGTTTGTTTTTGGGAATTGTATATCATGATAATATTTATTTTTTTGTACAAGGAGGTCATAATTATTTTTAACCATTGAAAATAAATTTTAATGGCAGAAAATGTGTTACAACATTCAAGAAATTTTGTTTTAGATTTTTGGCCCAAATAATGACATATCCTTAACCACCCGATTTCAAATCTAACGGTCAACCCTGATTATGACCTCTTTGTATTAAAAATAAATGGTCTCATTGTGTACATTTTCTTTTCTTTGGGAGCTGCATGATATAAAAGGTCCCACCGAGTCTTAAATATTGGATGTGAAATCATATATATCGCAATATTTGAACTTTATATCTAGAAAAAAAATTCAAAAACCTTTTTTCTTTTGGAATTGTATGCTATAAGAGGTCAACTGAAATTTGTAGGGTGTGCTTTTTATCCTTTTGAAATAAATTTTAGGTACATTGTTTTCTTTGGGAATTGTATATCATGGCAATATTTATTTTTTTGTACAAGGAGGTCATAATTATTTTTAACCATTGAAAGTAAAATTTAATGGCAGAAAATGCGTTACAACATTCAAGAAATTTTATTTTAGATTTTTGGCCCAAATAATGACATATCCTTAACCACGCGATTTCAAATCTAACGGTCAACACTGATTATGACCTCTTTGTATTAAAAATAAATGGTCTCATTGTGTACATTTTCTTTTCTTTGGGAGCTGCATGATATAAAAGGTCCCACCGAGTCTTAAATATTGGATGTGAAATCATATATATCGCAATATTTGAACTTTTATATTTAGAAAAAAAATTCAAAAACCTTTTTTCTTTTGGAATTGTATGCTATAAGAGGTCATAGTGAGTTTTAGCTATTGGATGTAAAATCTTACATATTCAAATATATTGTAATATTTGAATTTTTTATAGTTTGAAATAAATAAAATTTAGGTGTTGGGTGAGTGTGGCCATTAAAAGCCTTATGAGTGCTTGTAAAATGAAATGATATAGTGGAACATGAACTCAGTGGGAGTGTAGTCCCTCGTGGACCATACTAAGCAAACGATATTTGCTGATACCAGATTGTGCTTGACGGTCTAGGCTAGTCGGTTCCCATATTTCCTAGACATAGAGTATAATTCGATAAGGGTTCTATTGGGTCATCCCTTTATGAGGTTGGAGTATGCCCAGATGAGTGAGCGGATGGATTGTACGACCCTTGTATGTGATGGTGGCCTTTATAGACGAGGGCCAAAGCCTCATCCATGTATCATCACACGACATGCATATTGATATACTATTTCTGGAAAGCAAGTCACCTTTCAGGGGTGAAGTATATGCATGTACAAGAGATAACCCATGCGTCATAAGAGTCATGGTCGCTTCGGTTTAGGTGACTTTGGTCCGTCTCTAAGGGAGAACCTGAAATCCACATACTGGGATTACGACCCCTTAGCTCATCAGCCAGACTTTTGTGACAACTAATGAGTCCCTGCAAGGACTGTGGGTCATGGGAAACACTGGGTCGGTTTGATAAAGCAAGTGTGGTCTGTAGTCCACAATTGAATGTGGAGTGCTCAAGTATTTGATTGATTTAATTCTTAGACCATATGGATCATTTTCTCATGTAATGAATTTAATTATATTTGTTTTGTGATATATATGATTTTAGAATTATTATTTGAATTTTTCTAGATCTCTGAATATTTTATTTATCAAATTTGGATATATAAAATCAGAGATATTGATTTTACAGTAATTTAAATATTCAAATAAATTATAAAATTATATTGTTGAGTTTTAAAAATATTTAAAATTGTATGGGGGCTCATTTTACACATGGGCCCACCATGGCCTAGATGGTGGGGCCCATGAGATCCTCTCATGGGTGACACGCTCCACCCATCTAGAAGCTTTTTATTTTGTGATAAGTGATTGTGTTTTGGAAAAGTATTGGCTTGAGGAAGCTTTGAATGAATTTTTGGAAAGCATGAGAAGACTTGTGCATTATTTTTGTATGCACAATATTATATTTAGAATTATTTTATTTAATTTCCTATCGATGGAAAAATGGTTTAGAAAATGGGGATAAATGTTCTAACACCTTCCATAATGTTGATGACCCATCTATGGAATGAATGACTCAAATCTCTCACTTCATAAGTCACCCAATATTAATGGTTCATATTCAATCTCATGAGGCAAGTCTCTCTCCTAAGAAACCCCAATTTCACTCAAAACCTATAAAAAAAGGATTGTTTCTACCTATAATCTCTACACCTTATCTCTCCTGATAAAGTTTATCTCTCTCTCATGAAAGCCCAAAAGAGGCGCGCCCCACTCTCTCATATTTAATCTCTCTCTTCCACATTGTAAAAAAGGGGCTAAGGATTTAGGCTATGTGATTCTTCTCTCTCCTATCTCTCAACTATGAATTTATGGCTAAAGGTTTTAAGGTATAGCAAAAAGATAATCCATCTCTCTCAAACTAGGTTGTTAAGAGAATTCACCTAGAGTTCGAGTTTATGATTAAAGGGGTCCATGTTCTATTGGTGCGGCGGCTCGGCCTAAACTTGTTTTTCTGGTTGAGATTGAAGGTTGATCATTGATCCTGCGCCATCGGATGATAGTGACTCGGTGTGTGGTGTATAATAAGCCCGATTGAGGTAATCTCTGACACTGTTTTTTTTTTTTGTCATATTTAATTATATTATTTTTATATTTCCAAGCATAAGAATTGTAGATATTTTCTTTGTTTAAATAAATTTTGTTTAATGACATCAAGGTTTTTAAGATCTTAGATTTCTTAATTTTATTTTTTTGCAGCAAGAATTATTGTAATAAGACTACTTGTAAGTGATATTTGCTAAAAAAAAGAAAAAAAAAAAATGGGTAGAAAGAAAAAAAAAAAAAAAAAAAACGTATTCCCCTACAATATCGCATTAATCTTTCTTTAATCAGGGACACTACTTCTATAGAGATTGTATGCTGATGTGAAATCTTTTATGTTGAAGCGTGTCCCCACATTTGACAAATTTTGTTTTGGACTTTCTATCGAGTCAATAATATATTACCAAGTACTTGATTTCAAATCTAGGGGTGAATTATAATTGTGTCATTTTTACATTAAATATAAATAATTCAATATTTCAATTTAATTTTCTTTAAAAATATAAATATTTTTTTAATTCATTTTTTCACCGTCCATTTTAACTTTTAGTGGACATACTTTTTGACATTTACTCTAAGATGAATGTTAGAGAGACAAGGTACGGTAATATGTGAGTCTGCTGACTCACTAAAACCGTGTCCTTATGAAAATATACAATGATGTAATTTACGTGGATGTGGTTTGCATAAGGTTGCAACCTTAAACAATCTAATTAAGGTGCACCTCTAAATTTTATCATAAATGTAATTTTGATATAATTTTTTTTGTTGGATGGCTTGATAATCTATTTTTCATCTCTAATTATAAAATTTTAAACTTTAAAAATAGTTTAAATTAAAAATATCTATAAACACATGAAAATCTTGAAAATAAATGGTCTCGATAATATGTTGCAAGATACACTATTTCCTGGATTCAAAATCTTTTTTTCTTTTCATATTCATACATTTCAATATTGGAATGATCAATTAGAGGGTTTTCCAACATCCAAACAACATTTATAATGGGTTTTTGAGGTGCATCTTTTATTCTACATTTTAAGGTTGCAATCGTATATAAACTTTTTTTTATTTACTTTTGGTACAATGAGATCTTAACCATTATTGACCTGTTCGATGCGAAGGGGATGTTTAATTGACTAGGCACGATATCCAGAATAAAACTTTTTGAATTTTTGACACACTTGACACATCTCAGTCCTTCAAATATCACATCCAATGACTAAATTGATTGTGACCGCCTTGTACCAAAAATAACTAGTAATATAATATACAATCCTTATTACTGTTCTCAATCAATTATGTGTTTTTTGATAAGTATATTAAAGTTAATTCAATACATATATATATATATATATAATATTAAAGAAATCTATACAATGACCGTTTACTTTTGATGCAAAGATGTCATAATTATCATTGATTGTTGGATTTGGGATCGGGTGGTTGAGGGTGTGTCATTATTTGGATATAAAGACCAAAACAAAATTTCTTGAATGTTGTGATACAATTTCATCTAATAGATTTCATATCCAATAGTCGACAGTGACCTTTTAATAAGTAGTTTCTTAGTATACAATCTCAAATATCAAATAGTTATGAAAAAAGTTTATATAAATGCGAGGCTCTAAATAATCGAATTAGAGCACACATAAAAAATTTCACTAAAAGAGGTTGTTGATGCTCAAATATCTTCAAATTGATTATCTCAACCTCAAAATGCATGAACATGAGAAAAAAATGGATTTTAAATTTTGGAAATAGTGCATCTTCTAACGTATTTTTCGACCGTCAGTTTTCAAGATTTTTAAGTTTTCATATATTTGTTCGATCTATATTATTTTGAAGCTTTAAATTTTATAACTTAAGTTAAAAATTATATTTGAAAAATTATCAAAAATATATTTTAATTTTTATTTAATTGAAAAAAAAACCCATCAACTTTCATAAACCCCATCCGCACTATTTTTTTTTTCTCAATTGGATATCTTATAACCAAAATAACCTTATTTTTTTTCTCAATTTTGATATTTTTATAACCGAAATAACCTTTACAATAAATATATTAATATAATGACTACCGCATTTAAAAATTTATAAAAGATCATTCTATGTAATACGAGTAAGGTTATTTGATTGAAAACAATGTCAAAATAAAAAACTAGTTGAAGGTGTGCTTTCCTTCGATTGTTTAGAGCCTCGGCTCTATAGAAACCGCAGCCAATTTTATTTGACGGTGGTCCATTTCCGAACAATGGGAAAAAGCAGACCCAGGCACCTTTTAAGGTTCACGAGCGAAGCAAGCCAGATTTTCTCCTGATTTTAGAGAGAGAGAGAGGGTTTCTATGGAGGAAGGCAAGAGAGAGAGTTAGGGTTTCCTTTGGAGAAGCAGGAGAAGAAGAAAGCATTTCCCACCGATTAAGAGTGAAACAGCAGCATCAGTAAGGTTTTCGTTTCTGTTCAGATGAAAAAAGAAGGAAGCTAGGGTTTTCTGCAAGTCTTCTGTGAGAGAGAGAGAAAGAGAGCGCTAGCAAAGTGGAATCACAGTTGTCGCCTCAGAGAACCAAATGGCAAAGAAAAAACCAGAAGAGCTTTTATGGGAGAGTAAGAGAGAGAGGTCAAGAGATACAAAAGTAAACGAGATGTAATGGTTTCTCTGGATAACAATCGAGGAGAAGTAAACAAGGTAGATGGGTTTTCATTGAGAGAGAGAGGGATGGAATTTATCTAGAGAGAGAGGGAGAATGGAAGGTCCCGTTGTTGCAACACCAGAGAAGCGCGTATTCCACCATTTATCTACTGAAACAAATGGAACAATCCCCCCAAATGTCAGAGCTTCTCCTCCTCCTGTGGCCACCCCACCTGGCTCTACATGCTTTCGGATTCTATGCCCTGTAACTAAAACAGGCGCCGTTATAGGGAAATCGGGCTCAATAGTCCGACAATTGCAAAAGCAAAGTGGGGCGAAGATTCAAATCCTAGAGCCCATTCATGGATGCCAAGAAAGAGTGGTTCGCATTCTGGCCTCTGATAGGAGGGATCATAGTGGTCCTTCTTCTGCTCAAGAAGCCCTGACCCTAGTTTTTGAGAGAATTGTTACCGCTGAGAATGAAGGGGGCCAAGGTGGTGGTCCTGTAATTTGCAGGCTTTTGGTCCCTCAGGTCCATGTGGGAAGTGTTATGGGGAAGGGTGGACGAGTTGTTAAGGGAATTCGAAAGGAGAGTGGAGCGAAAATTAGGGTTTTGACTCATGACCAGGCCCCACCTTGTGTGTCTGCTTCAGATGAGCTGATACAGGTAACTCCCCGAGTTTTCTATGAATCGTGCTATGGATCAATCAAAGAATTTGTTTTTGTTCTGTTGCCTGCCTTTTGTTGAAGTTGAGAGTGAAACTGTGCTTTCGTTTTTCCAAACTATTTGAAACCAAATTTTCCTTTTTGTGAAGCTGAGACGAGGGTTCCTTCTCTTTTGTTTTGTTTCTTTTATTCCATATTTTGATTTATTTATTTGAAAATTCCATATGGGATCATTCATTTTTTGTTTTTCCATTCATTTGTTTCATTTCCGTGTTTTCTTTTGGGTTTGTGAATGGTCTTCTTTCTATTTGATAGTCTTGAGTTTTAATTATTGTTCTTGTGCCATTGAATGCCCGGACTAGTTTTTCCTCATGTTTATTTACATAAGATTGTTCTTATATGTAAATTGGAGATATAAACTTATTCTTCATGTTCTTATTAAGAATACCATTTTTCTACTGTTATGTTATTGTCTGTTTGTCCTAATGCGCATCATTTCTTCTGTAATTCTCTCATTAACAAAGTGTGGTGTTGGGTTTGTTGTAATTTTCTTTTTGATATAAGGAGTTGGGTGGCAGAGCCACAACATGAGATCAAGGGTTCCATTCATGACTGGCAAACCGAACCAATTATTCAGCAACTGAACTATGATATGTTGTCACAAACTGTATAAATGTGGGTAATATTTTACTGTTGAGTGGTCATATTTTCAGGTGATCCCATGCGAACTTCTGTTAACTGTAGGGACAGAGTTATAATGGATTACTGTCCTATCGACCGGAATATTGAAGGACATCTTGGATTAATTTGCCCCAGTATGGTTAATGTTGTGTTTTGTATCTTTTTGGTTATAAGAATTTTAGGAACCAGAGAGGAAAGCATTAACAACCTTCCAAAAAAAACAAAAAAAAGAGGTCAGAGGAATCTTGGTGAATGATTTCATGTGTCTTCTAATGGAGGCATATTGGTCAAATCATCTAGATGACATGGAAAAGTTATTGGTGTTGATGGTTGATGAGAGCTTTCATTGAGTTGGTCGAGGGGTCTGTAGTCCCCAAAATTTCATTGGCCTGGGCTTGGTTTGTAAGGGGTTCCCTTCCTGATGCATGATTCGTATAATTGAACAATAAAAAATCTCCAATTATGAAAGAATTAATCAATTTCAATAAGAATGGGTGGAGAAGTACCCTGAGCCAAACTTTACCCAAGACTGAAAGACTGCCTGGATTTGGTTTATGGGGTTGACGAACTCAGCTTTTTCAGTTAAAATTTATTTGGTTGTTTTTCCTGTTTAGTGAATTTGTGCGGATTGGTGTTCATCCTCTCTTCTGATGGCAAAGGAAGCTATAGATTTTATAAGAAAATCGAGCTTTCTAAAGAATCATTAAAGATAGAAATCATAGGATGAAAATGTATTTACATACACACGTGTGTTTGTCTGTGTCTGATTATGTGCCTGTGTATTTGTGCTTCCTTCTGTGTTTATGTGAAGTCTTCCATAGCATGTTAAATTTTGATACCTCATACACTTGTACACCTGTAATGTGCTTAGGCAACATAGTCATCGACGAAGTCAATGCTCTGTGAGCAAGCTAGAAACTGGTGTCACAACCGTGCTTTGCTGTCCGAAGAACACATCGAATTATACATTGACACAGATCCTATAGAATATGAAGTTCACATGTCCTTCCAAAATGTGGTGTTCGTGAAACTTTGAGGCATGAATTTTATTTTTTTTAATAACTTACTGAACCACTATTGCAAGAATTTTCTGGCGGCTGTGCATGTGATATAGGTTGCAATTGTATGGCTACGAATGTGCTTCATATCATGTTTTAATTGTATTTATAGATAATGCAATTGTCTTATTGCTTAGTTTATCATTAAGTCATTGAGTTCTCTGCTATTCTTTATTTAAAAAAATGTCATGTTAAAGTTTTCTTTTTTTAATTTTCTTCCTTTTGCAATTTTTCCAAAGTCTTCTTAGGGGAAACCAAAATTTGAAAATTCTATCAAGCAATTATTTCACTGCAAAATTCTCCAAAGTGCAAATTGGTAATTATGCATTCATTCAACAAATATCATCAACTTGGCGACAGATTATGGGAGACCTATCAGCTGTGAAGAAAGCCCTTCTCTCTGTTTCCACCTGCCTCCAAGAAAGTGCACAATCAGACAAAGCACGGTTTGAAGCAAGTGGGTCTGTCGGGTCAACCTTTCGTCCGTCATTTTCTAATGGGCATGGAGAGTCATTTTCTCAGTGGGGCCCACCACATGCAAAGGGATCACCTTCTTCAGGTTCGTCCACTGAGGGGCCTGCTGATTATTTTGTGGGAGGACTTCTTTCATCAGTGAAGGATGGTGTTGCCTCCATGGGTCAAAGGAAGCCAGAACAGGAGCTTGTGTTTAGGTTGTTATGTTCGAATGATCGACGAGGAGGAGTAATAGGGAGAGGAGGGACCATTGTTAAAGCAATGCAGAATGAGACTGGTGCAGCGATAAATTTTGCTCAGCATATGCCAGAATCAGACGAGTGTGTAGTTACCATATCCGCAATGGAGGTTTGTGAGGCAAAATGTAATCCTTAACTTTTGTGTTTTATTTTTTTACTTGACTCTGTATTGTTTTCCTTGTGAGTTTCCTCTTGTCCTATCATCCTATTTCTATTATTCTCTTTTTTTTTTTTGATGAAGAATTTATGGGGTAAGTGTACTGAATTCAATGGACAGTGTTACACTCATTATATACTGAGCTCATCACCACCTGATAAATTGATGGATAGTAAATGGGGAGAAAGTGGGACCCACGATCAGGATTATGTCCTGTTAGCGTGAGTTCCTTACTCTATCCATCGCTATCCATCAATTCATTAGATGGTGATAAATCTAGTGGATTACATTTTTATGGTTTATTAGGTTATGCTATACTTAACTTTTATTTTTAATGGCCGTCGAGCATTGCTTCCATTTGTTTTATGATGTGTAAATTAGCATTTCTCTTTTTCTTTTCTGATGAGTAATTTCTCTCCTTTTTTCTTTCTCATCCAGTGAATTCTTCTGCTTTTATCTGCAGAACCCAGAGTCACGAATCTCTCCAGCACAAAATGCTGTGATTCGTGTTCATTCTAGGGTAGTAGAGGTAGGTATGGGTAAAGGTGCCAATGCATGGGATGCATGCATGCCAGCCCGGCTTCTGGTACCAGCAACTCAAATAGGTTGCTTGCTGGGTAAGGGAGGCACACTAATTGCAGACATGAGGAGGGCAACTGGTGCAACTATTATGATTTTCTCGAAGGATCAGGTGCCAAAATGCGCTTCAGAGGATGATGAAGTTGTTCAGGTGCATTTGCATCTATGTCCTTTGTCAGTAATGCATACATGCTCATAGATCTGTCATGTTTGTAAACATGCGCATTTACCTTTTAGAGAAATTCTATTGGCCTAAAGTGAATCTGAATGTTAGGATTCCTTTGTTTTGTGTTACTGGACAGTTGTGGCCCTAATTCTTTGTCAACAATCCAAATTATCCTATAAGTTGCAGAAAATAGCACTAATTTTTTCTAATTTTCTAAATTAATGTTCATTCAAAGATGCTCAAAGTTATCATTTTCTTTGATCTTTGATGGTCAAAGGTGTTACCGTCCCTTCACACAATACAACTAAAAATCAAAATAGAGGGGTTTTTCCCTTTATAGTTGGTTTTTCTATCATATTTGAAAACTTCCATTTTCTCTAATGGAGAAGCGTAGGTATATTTGTATCTCTTGTTTCTTAGAGGCCCAAATATTATAGAAAACTCTTTATGGGAATAACCCAACACTAGGATTTCAAGTCTCCAATCAGCATAATTGTGCTGGCTGCTAGACTCTGATAATGATGAGGAACAGTGGGGGCTGTGCAGATTTCTGGCGAAGAATTCCAGATTCGTATTGGTTTGTTTCATGTGACGACAAGGCTACGAGACTATATTTTTGGAGCTGGAACTCCCTCATCTATGGCTGCTCCAGAGATTTCTTCATATGACAAAAATCGTGACCCTGACTCTTCTTCAATGTACCCTCCAATTGGCTTCTCCCATGATCTAGATCATTCTTCTTCGCTGTCTCACAGTATTGACCGGTTGTATCTTCAGACTAGTGATCGTCTTGGATTGTCCCATGGCTGTGATCGCCATGCTTCACTGACGTTATGGCCATCCCTGGTAATGTTTTTGTTTTTTTATTTTTTAAATCAAAATGGATTGGTTTGAATCAACTCAAGAAACTGGTTTATGAATGGTGATTGCTATTCTTTCATGTATCCTTATTGTTATCCACTTTTAAGGCAGTTTGGCTCTGGCTTTCTGGTTAGGTTCTGATTCCATCTTTGAGGCATGGAGAGTGACCTTTATGCTCCCAAGACTACTGATGTTTAGCGTTAGGGTGCTCTATGCCATTTCCTTATTAAGAGATAATGTAGATAGCATTGATTCAAAAAGCGGACCACTCAGCGCCTAGGCTGTCTGAATGGCCTGGGCGCATCGCCCAGCACCTAGGCGATCCGGAAGGCCTGGGCGCATCGCCTAGGTGGTACGGAACCCGCCTAGGCAGGCGCCCAACGTTTGTGCCCCGCCCGCGCAGGGGCGGAAATTTTTATTTATTTTTAAGTTGTATTGATTTTTTTTGAAATATAACGGGTTTAAAGGATGGGTTTTAAGTTCATTTCAAACCTAAACCCACAAGAACCCATTTTAGAGAGAAAGAAACCTCAGTTTGTGACTTTTATTGGATCGAAGTACTTCTCAAAGTTACAGAAAATGGATCCAAACATCACCAAGGTAGATTTGATTTAGTTTTGGAGATTTATAATCCTATTGAAGGTTGTTTTTTATTATTTTAGCACCAAAAAACATCTTAGAGGTGTGCAAAAATTTATTTTTTAGATTGTCTGTTTTATTTTGAGATGTCTTTTTCAGGATCTAGTCAAATTGGAGATTCGAGTTGGAAATATGGATATAACTCGAATCCAAATGACAAGAAATGTATTAGATACAATTTTTGTAAAAAAGATATGAAAGGGAGAATAAACCGGTTTAAGAAGCATATTGTTGGTATTAAGGGGGATGTTGCCCTTTGTAAAAATATTTCTGAAGCTATCAAAGATGAGATTAAGCAATATATGAGTTTTGTAAAACAAAAACAGGAATAAAATCCTTGTCATTTGAATAGATATATTTCTGCTACTTCTAGAAGAAGTGATTCGGGTTGGAAGTATGGTTATAACCCAAAACCAAACGATAAAAATTATATAAGGTGTAATTCTTATGAAAAAGATACCAATGAGGGTATTAACCGATTCAAGAAACACCTTCCTGGTATTAAAGGGAATGTTGCTTCTTGTAAAAAGGTTTCTAAAGCTATTCGGGATGAGATTAGACAACTTCTGAATTTAAAACAACCAGAAAATGATAAAAATGAGTCTTGTTCTACATGAATATCTTCTCTAGGTTCTTCTAGAAGTGGTGATCCGGTTTGGAAGTATGGTTATAACCCTAATCCGAATGACAAAAATCCTATTAAATGTAATTATTGTGGAAATAATATTAATTGGGGCATTTATCGGTTTAAAAAACACCTTGCCGGTCTTGAGGGGGATGTTGCCCCATGTAAAAATGTTCCTGAAGCTACTAGGGAGGAAATTATATAATATTTGAGTTCAGGAAAGCACAAAAAGATAGAAAATGGTAGAGCAGCCAAGACTCCTAGGGCCTCATCTGCACATACTAGTAAGAGGGAGGTAGAAGATGAGGAGGAAGAGGCAGATTCAGAAGAAACAGAGGAAGACCAGTGTTATATTGAAGAGGGAGATGACTCTGATGATGATGGTCTCGATTCTGATGCATATGATGAAGTTGACCCTATTCTTTCTTTCTTTTGGATGATGATGATGGCTGAAGACTCTTAGTGTTGAGTGTTGAGTGTTGATTATTGTGTCTGTATATTTTTTGAATTTTTGTATTTTTTGTATTTTTTTTCTGATTTTTAGTCTCTAGTTCTACTATTTAACTTTTGTGAGTAGAGTCTACAATGTATTTGACTATCAATGTGTGCTTGTATGGTTTTACTGTTTTAGCATTGTATGAAAAATATGGATTATGGATTATCAAAATACTGGATTATGGTCTTAGGTTTTGTTTTTTTTTATTTTTTTTATTTTTTTATTTTATTTTATTTCAACTGAGCCACCCAGGTTCTGGGCGCGCCCGCCTAGGCGCTGGACGGCATGGACCTCCATGGCCGCCTGGGGGCTGCCTAGCGCTTTTTGAAACACTGGTAGATAGTCCAATGGACACAATGAAATCATAATCCATTGGAATTATTGCCATCCAATGTGAAACAATGATGGTCATTGCGAAATATTTTGAAAGTAATCAATGCAAGCAACTGGTTTGTTGGTGGGTGGTTGTTGTTTCACTCGTGTATCCTTCTTGATATCCACTTACTTGGCTTTCTGCTTACCTGCGGATTCTATCTTTCGGAGCATCTAATGGCCGTTCTTATTCCAAGACTAATGATTTCTAAGGTGTTCTATACTTTCTCTTAGTTGAGAAAAACTATGTAGTGTCCAGTCGACTAGGGAAATCCATAATCCAATGGGTTCATCAGCATCCAATGAAGCAATGGATTGTGATGGAGAGAGCATGGGATCTATCAGAACAGGACATGACCACAATCATGGGTCCCACCTCTATCACCATCATTTGTTTCATAGGATTGGATGATCCCCAGTGAATGGTTGCTTTCTATATTCAATTGTTTTGTACTTCACTTTGTTCAGTGGCCAATATGCTATTAACTTGTTTTCATATGGATGTAATTTGATTTTGAAAATGTCTTGCTCCTATCAATAGAGCGTCCCAAGACCTCTCTCTTCCTTCTGGGATTATTTGCTTTTTGCTTCTATCTATTGATTTCTTTGCTAAATTGAATAATCGTGACGTTGCCTTGCATATGTATCTCTGGACAGTGAACATCAGGTTCTATGATTCTGTTTTAATTCCAAGTGTGCTTACAGGCTGTGGAGGGGGATGGAAACCCAAAAGCCATTCCAGATGTTGGGAATGGCTTGACAACCCTCAAAGGTGGCTTAGGAAGGTAACCAACCATCTTTGCTCTATGTTTATTACAGAGATTTGTCGGTGAAATAATGATAGTCATGCAGTTTGCTGATGTCATTCATGCCCTGAAATTTGTTGTCAATCGAAAAAAAGCCTTGATAACTGTCTCCACCATGCATCCTTTGTATTTATCTAAAGAAAATGTATACTTCCTCTTTTACGTTTTCCCTTATCCTCTTTCTCTAAATGGGCCAATAAGAAGGATGACTCCACTATTTTGCAGTTCCGAATAGGGTTATGATTTATCAAAACCTAGTGTATGTTAATTTAAGTTTTTGGACTAGCATGTCTTGTGAAGCCCATTGCTTCTGTCTCCTACTACAGTTTGGATCCAATCGGCAGATAAGTTTCCATTAGAAAATGAATTTAGCATTTCTAGATTACGGTTTGTTTTGTTAGAAATTTAAGGCTGGTGTTTTGCTTATATTTGGAGCAAATATAACCGCTGATTATGTTTTCTGTTATACACAGTTTCAATTGTGGCTGTTGGCTTTGGCAGTTGGCTTAACAAATTCCATCCATCATGCAATTTATTGAGTAATTACATCAGAGTTAGGGGGTCAGGTCTTGTTTTTATGAGATATCCTGCAAGCAATTTTACCGTGATGGAATGGAGTATGGCATACAGTACTCCAAGGGAAAATTCCCCATTTATTCCTGATTGATTGTGAAAATCAATCATAATTGGCCACAGCTATGATTGATTTATCCCCACTCTGGCATTATTGGGAATGGATGCATGAGTTTGGATTACTGGATACCTTACTGACATTTTTCATTGGATTATGGTATACTATTCCCTAATCTTGAGTTAGCTGAGAGGACTGATTTGTTGGATTTGGACGCGTTATAGTTGTATAATATTGTTTGTTGTATAATCTTGTAGAGAGATTGAGAGGTAACTTGCAAAGATAACCAAGAGAGATAGATATAGAGGTCATTTGCAATTGTTTTCTTATAGAACCCATCACTTAACATACTTTATTATTTGGCAAGCCATTGTAATTATTCTATCGAGAAGTATTTCATTGAAGATATGTAATGGTACTTTGTGCAGCGTAACCAAGTCGGCAATAGTGACAAATACAACAATAGAACCCATGACTTAGCATACTTTGTTATTTGGCAAGCCGTTGTAATTATTCTATAGAGAAGTATTTCATTGATACTTTGTTACTTGGCAAGCCGTTGTATGTAATGGTACTTTGTGCTACCTTGTGCAGCGGAACCAAGTCGGCAATAGTGACAAATACAACGATCGAGATTGCAGTTCCAGAACATTTACTTGGTTCTGTTTATGGAGAGAACAGGACCAATCTTAACCGAATCAAACAGGTAATTTATTTTCTGTTATGTAGATATGTTTGCCATAGGGTCAAAATAGTCCGCAATGTTTTTTTTATTTTTCTACTGAGTATTAGTTCATAGCTTGCTTTTTTGTGTGTTTGGTAGTAATTTGCTCTGGTGTTTTCATTTGCTGAGTAGCAATTTGCAATTAAGACAATAACAAACCCTAGTTTGTTTACTGACAATGATGGAACTGGAAGAAGGAACACCCTCTACATTTGTATATAACCTTTTTTTTTTTTGGGTAATTCAATGGGGATGACGAGCCCCTACCCGTTTTTTCAAATCGTTAGTGGTTTTTTAATGTGTTAGGTGAGAATGGAAGCCTAGACTTTAGCTGGGGCACATGTGGTATTACCATCACGACCTCAACCCCGTTCTCATATATAACCTATTCCTGAGGTAAAAATCCCAAACATTGATATGTGAGCAAAGTAGTTTGATTCAAAATGGATTAACTGATCCGGATCAGGAATTGCTAATTTGAATTGGGATTTGTTGGACATTGTGCGAACCTTGTAGGAATTGGTGGTTCTTAAAAATGTAAAACACTATGTCTCTCAATGCCAACTAAGCTGGAACAGCTTATTTGGCCAGTGCAAGCGCTTCGTTTGCATTATGTTGGGGGTTTCGAATCCCACTCCCAAGAGCTTTTGCTCTTTACCTTTTCTTTTACAATCATCGATCTGGATCATTAATTGTTGATCAAGATCGAGATTTGTTAGGAATAGGTGGTAAAATATTATGTTTCTTTCCATGCTTAGTTGGCTAGCATGAGGACACCATAGTTGGGGTTTCGAACCCTCTCACAAGCACTTTGACCCTTGACCTCTTTTTTTTTTAAACTTATATAAACAGAAAAAGAAGCGGGAGGTTTGACATGAACCATCATCAGCCACAGTACTAGGCAAACATCTGCCGCAATACTAGGCTACTTAAAATAATTGTTATCAATCTCTACATTATTTATGGTATCCTTTTATCCTTTTTCTAGTTGTTATCAATCTCTACATTATTTATGGTATCCTTTTATACTTTTTCTGGTTTGCACTGCCTCAAATCAGTGTTAGCAATCCACCCCACCAATCCATCTTTTAGAAAGCTGCCTCAGAACAAGGCCTTGGTTGGGCTTGGTTGATCATGATGTAGATTTATTATTATTATTATTATTATTGTTATTATTATTATTATTATTGTAATTGGATTTTTCCCATTTTCATTATGTAATTCGCTACCAAAATAAAAAAGAACAACTTGACCTTGTATTGGATTGAATTAGGCCTCCCTAGATTCCAAAAGTATACTTTTGACTCATCGAAAACCTATGTTATAGAGGAGTCAAAGGTAGCACCGGCAATGTGATCTAACTACCACGTCAACACATGTAAAGTTTTTTAGAAATTTTTATAAAGCTTCCAAAATGTTATGTAAGGAGACCTATGCAAATTCACTATATATATATATATATATATATATATATTTCATTCAAGGAAGTTTGAAAATATTTTGTACTTATATATCATTTTTACCAAATTTCAAAACATTCGTGTTTTATGGCACTATTATGCAGTGGACTTGCTAAAAAGTGGGCTTGATTGGTAAAGTTTTTGGTATGACAATACTTCTGGCGCGTTTCGATTTTGGAAGACGTGGTTTTGGCAATGTGAAGTGCTATGTAAAAAGTGGATATTGTGAAAAGTGGATATTGTAGTATCCACTTATATTATTTTTAATGTTGAAGATGTATGTTGTACGTTCCATGGTTACAAGTGTTTCAAAAAGCGTTAGGTAGGTCCTAGGCGGATTGGGGGATCCATGCCACCTAGTGCCTAGGCGGCGCCTAGAACCTGGGCGGCCCAGGATTATGCAATTATTTGAGTATCAGATTATCAATTATATTCAAATTATACTATAACATTTAGCACACATTCCATAAGTATAAGCATAATCCATAAGTCGGTTCATACTCCATAATCCATATCCAATTAAAACTTAAAATATTCCAACCAACCAAATTATAAAACTATGAAAGTAATACTTGAAAACTCAAAAAAATCTTTAATAGTTCAAATGTTCAATACACAATACTTCAATCAAAGTTCAAACTTCAAAGTAACAAAGTTTAATAATTATTCAACAATCAACATTCATTCATCATCAGAAAATCTTGGGTCAGCTGCATTGGCATCATATTCATTGGAGTCGACGGAGTCATCACCCTTCTCGACATATTGCGACTCTTCTTCCTCCGTCTCTTGTGAACATGCCTCTTCTTCCTCTACCTTTGTTCTTTGTGTAGAAGCTCTAGTGGCCTTAGGAGGGTCAACTAATGTCCCTGAAACATCCATGACCATGTCCCATGTCAATCGTTCATGTCCCTCGACCTCATCATCATCAACTAACCACTCCATAGCATTGTCTATATTTTTTGATCTGATGGGGTCTCTATTATCTCTCTTAGCAAATTTGTCCTTTAAGAATCGATTGTATTTGACATAGGCAAGGCCATTGAGCTTTTTTGATTCAAGCATGTTTCTTTTCTTTGTATGAACCTAACAAAATAAAATGAAAGTGAACTAATTAAAGTTGGTCCAATGGCGATGAGGCAAAGGACCAAAATTAAACCTCAGCTGATGTCCCTGAAGTATCATTGAAAATTTGGGCTCTCGCTTTTGCATTTCTCCATAGCATCATATATGTAGCCCATAGAAGGATTGTCACTATCAATCATGCGAAAGACTTTGATAATAGGAAAAAGTACCTTAAGAGCACTCTTCAACCCTCACCATAAAGCCTTAGAAAGTATAATATCTGTCACCTTCTTCCCAACCTGAGCTTTAGACCACTTGCATGCTCTCCACTCATCTGAGGTAAACATCTGTCTCAACTACATTATCCTCGAATGTATGCTATTTAGGCATAAATACTGGGTTGCAAGTCTCGTGACCCAAGGCCTCACAATCTCTTTCTTCTTTCTAAAGGTACGCATCATGTTGAGGGTGATATGGTGGCTATAAATGAAATTCGTAACATATTTAGCCTTCTTCACTGCACGTGATATCTCAGTTAAAGCGCCAAGAGCCTCAAGCATGAGGTCTATACAATGTGCTGTACATGGTGTCCAAAAGATTCTAGGATAAGCTATGCGCAACAAATTAGATGCAGCAACATTAGGAGCAGCATTATCTGTGACAACCTGTACAACAAGATGCTCTCCAACCTCCTTGATTTTCTTCTCTATTACTTGAAATATATAATAGGCATCATGAATATGATCAGAGGCATCAATAGACATCAAAAAAAAGAGTCCCTACTGGACAATTCACAAGCAAATTCATTTGACTTCTTCTCTTCATATCACTCCAAGCATCAGTCATAACTCATAAGAGAAACCCCATACTGAGCGCATGCATCTTTCTTAAGTTCTACAACTTACTTTGTGGCACTCATTGCCTTTTTTAAATAAGGCTCTGAAAGCTCATATGGGGTGGAGGGTTTCATCCCAGGGCCAAATTGGCCAATTGCCTCTACTGTAACATAAAAGTTGCTCAAATGAGCAGTATTGAATGGAATGCCCACCTCATAAAACCATATAGCCAATCTATATCTCTCTTCCTTTTTGATTCTATTTTCTATAGTGGTTTACTTTTTTGTTTTCTCTCCTACAATCTCAGGGTCAGATCAAGGTAAGAAATTATCCATAGGGCCTCTAACCTGAGGCTTCTTACTCTTAGAACTAGAACCAGAAGCAATTACAACTCCCTTCCCCTCTCCCTTAATAATGGATTGCTCAACCTCTTGACATCCCTCCCCAATCCTTTCCTCATCACTATCATCATCATCAAAATTGACTCGAGCCCCAGATCTAATCTCTGCTATAGAGGCAAAACTCTCATCTTTTTTCATTTTCACCAAGTTCATAAAATTCTTTATTTCCTCTTGAACAACATCAGGAGTTTTTTTACATGGGGCAACATCCCCCCCTGATACCGGCGAGATGTTTCTTGAACTGATTTATGCTCCTTTTTGTATCCTTTTCACAAAAATTGCATGCAATTTTTATTATTAGGATTTAGGTTATAGCCATATTTCCAATCGGGATCACCATTCCTATAAGATCCGAAGAAGACATCTTAAAAATAATGCAAATTATTAAAGCAATAAAAAAAATCATCTACTTTGAGTTTGATTGCTCAATCTTCAAACTTCCACTTCAAAGATGTTTCTAAATACTCAAAATCTTCTAAAACACCTCCTAATAACTTTGCAAAACTTTTAAAAGTAAATAGATGATGTTTTGATCAATTTTGGTTAACTTTGAGTAACCCTTCGATCTAAAAAAAATCATTGCAATCTAGTTTTTTTTGGTGGTTTTATCTCTCTAAATTTGGCTCAAACATGGTTTAGGTTTCAAATAAACCTAAAACCCTAATTTTTTGGTTTAAAAAAAAAAAAATGACGTAAAATGCCTTCACGAATTTTTTTTCCGCCTCTGGGTTGGGCGTTAGGCGGCCGCCCAGGGATTGATCATACAAATTGGCCGCTTAGGCCTAGGCTTTTCGGATTGCCTCGGACTGCCTCAGCGGCGTTGGGCGGTCCGCTTTTTGAATCAATGAAATTTGCCCTATTAATTCCTTAGAAGATGCAGTTTTGAATCCGTGTCTTCCAAAAATTTTACATGATTTATAAACCATAGTGTGTATTGGAAGACGTGATTTTAGAGACCGCATCTTTCAAGAAAATGGATATCGTGGGTTCTATGATCTCCTATAGAACCTGTACTATCCACTTTTTGACGTTAAAAATAACTTTAAGTAGATACTTTGATATCTATTTTTCACAAAGCACTTCCTATTACCAAACAGGGAAGTGCTAGTGTCCGGAAGATGTGGTTTCCAAAACCATGTTAGGCCATACACGCCTTATGTTTCAATCCTCCTATTGTATACCCTCCCAAAGGGTAAAAAAACACAAGAGAAATCGCAAGGAACACTTTTGCCGTAGGGTTAGAGCCTTTATCCTTACTATTCCAATGTCAAAACTGTTGATACGTGATCGCGAGGATCCCCACTGTGACTCTGGAGATCGATTTCTTGTATTGTACACATTCTCATCTCTCTCTCATATTGTGGTATGTATTATCAGATCTCGGGGGCCAAGGTAACAGTGTATGATCCACGGCCAGGAACAACTCAGGGGACGGTGATCATATCAGGGACCCCAGATCAGACCCAGGCAGCCCAGAGCCTTCTTCAGGCCTACATTCTAAGCGGACCCGCCTCACCATAATATCAATGCTTGTCCGATATTATGCTGCTCTATTCAAACGGCCTCAGAGCACTTGGAGTCCTTGTGCAGATTATCTTACGGTTGTGATTTGCGAAATGCGTTTTTTAATTTTTATTTTTTTCCTTTTCTTTTGGAGCAGGGGTCGCAGTCGACAATATCTGTGTTCGATGGAAATTATAAAATTATAACATGACGTGTGGTAGCAATTTTCACAAGTTTATGTTAAACGAATACTTAGTTTGAAGGCAGCTCAGAGTTCTTGGAGTTATGGAGAATGAATCAAATAGAATAAGAAGAATGAAACAAAATTTTCAGTTCTACTTTTTCTCTGTTGCATGACCATCTGGTGTTGATACATGAGAAAGATGTTCATGAATATTATTTTCTTTTCTTAAATGTACATGAAGAGAGTGCAAGCGTGTGTGTGAGAGAGTGAAAGGAAGATTTGAGAGAATCAGACATGCCCATGAGCTTGTGTAGGCAAACCATTTGAGTATCAATTGAAGAAGTCATGAAAAAGTATTTTCATCAAACATCAGATAATTCCCTACATGCTGCCATAAATAGAGGGAATCGCAGCAAGCCACACAGATAACTCACACGATAGATAAGAGGCAGAGAGAGGGGCAAGCGAGCCATTCTATGCAGTCGTAGCAACTTGCGGCGGTGGCGGGTTTGGGGGTTTGTAAAGCAGTATTTCAACATTGTCATGCACACCTTGCAGTAGTAGTTCGCCTTCGTATGTTAGTATCTTCCTCCTCTTGGCTGCTCTGAGTGTACCAACAAGGGCCTCAAAGATATTTGCACACCTATCATCGTTGAAGAGGACGCCAAATTTCACCTTTGAAACATGAAAATCGAATAAAATTAGCTACCACGAAGAATGAGCAAAAACTTTCGGTTTTGATATGTGCATGACATATACACATGCTTCACATGTGCACATTCGAGCGCCGCTGCTAATCCGTTATGTGACTCAACCAATACAAATCCTAACTGAAGCTTCAAATACGTTTCAGTGTCAAAGTTTGCATGAATACACATACACCGCTAATCAATTGAGAAGCAAGTACGGGCAATTTAGACAGGAACTACAGTGTCCCATAGCCTCCGAGTAAACAATAAGTAAGGAAGTCTGGTGAAATCAAAGAATCATGAAGAACTACTTTAGTTTCCAATACCTATTTGAGATTGATGGTCAAGAACTTGGTGCTATTTCTTATTAGCAGCCCCCTCCAGCTGATCTGATCCATAGGAAATGAAATGAAGCCAGACTAATAATGAAATTCCTTGACCCAAGTAAGAGAAGTCAAATACTAAGACCCAATGGTGAGCAAGTCAATGAAGCTTGTTTAAAGATGTCATATAGGTCCCTGTAAATATTTTATATAAGAGACATCGAGCCTTGTGGAAATCGAGTTTTTAATACTGAGACTGATAAACTGGTGATGAAAATTGATACCATACTATGTATTGCATATGTGATATAGCTAGCCCATGTCCATTAGTTGGGAAAAGGCTTTGACGATGATGATGATATGTAATATGGCTATGCCTTATGGGGTTTTGCATTGCTAGGGCAATAAAAGCCTAAAGAGGTAAAGCATAGGAGGTTTTTTTAAAAATAAGTCTGCAAAAAGTGGTAGGAGACTTTAATTCTTCCAAACAATAGACTAGGTTTTCTAGTAGACACTACAGAGAAAGATGAACCAGCAGAATCACAACTCACAATTAAAGGCATTAACTGAATAATTAAAAGGTTAAGCATAAGTTAGCAAGAATGCTTTGTAGTGTTACAACACAAAAGTTGCATGATTCCATTTTATTTTAAGACAGGGTTTCCTTATCAAATTCAAATAAAAGCCTCAATGCCTATCCTTTCTAGGGAGGAAGTTTCTGACAATAAAACACGCGGCTCTTCCTAGTTGCATGATGGCTTAAATAATTTCAAAGAACCTTAACCTCATGTCATCAAGGATCTAAAATGGATAAACCATAAATAACTTTTATGAGTCAATGAAAATAACCAAGTGAAATCTTCCTCATTACAAATGGGAGAGCGATGTCAACAAACAATGATCTCAGTGTTATCGAGGAGTGGGAATGGATAAAATCTGATGAATGTATGGGAATCAAGGAAAGAGTCACATGAAACCCTATAAAAGGCTCACAACAAGTTGGGATGGAAACCAGTGTATCTCATTCAGTTCCACATTTCATCAATTGATTCCAAACCTAAGGCATACAAATCTGACTTTGATGACCTTTCTTTCGAATAAAGCAGATGGGTATATTTGCTTCATTTCATTTTGGATGAGCACGTGTGTGATCATTAAACTCTGGAGCGCCTAGACCTAAGGGCGTTCAGAACCTGCATGCAGGATAAATCATTTGGACAGAAAAGCATTTAACCACAACTAAGTCATGCAGTCAATATGTTTCTGCATATGATAAGGATAGATAATGCTTATGTAAAAAGGAATTTTGGGGAAGCTTCCTCAAAGTTCCTTTTTTCAATCAAAACCAGGAACTCAGGGCAAGCAATGAAGGAGATCAGTTGGAAGATCCCTAAAAGTTTGAAACACCTGAGTGAACATCAAAGTTGTGGAAAGTAAATTGAAATGGGTATCTATTTGGGGAGGACTTCGGGCGTCTCACCTGCACACTTATGGAGCAAGGAATCAAACCAAAATGGTTGCGGTTAGATAAGAGTACTGTGGATCCATTGGACTTGTGCATATACTATAAAATAGGTGGCCTGCATAGAAGCTCATGCAAGACTTATCGAAGTACAAAAAACAGGAAGAGAGAAAAAGAATCAAGCCAAATTGAATGATAGTTGATTGAGTAAAGGGGTGAGTGAACAAGACATTTAAGAGTGGTACTTTGACAGAGATCAGAAGTGCTGATTGTAGAATTCCCTCTCTTTCCATGTCTAACAATGAAAGTTATGCTCGTCATATTTTCAGATCTCCATCCTTTCACTTCACATCTTTACTGTAATTTATGTCATATTGAGAGCCATTGGAACTTTGAGAAGATGGCATGGATATCTTATATCATGCACTGTGTTATTGAGCCTTGGGGAAGAAGGAATTCAAGACATCTCCAACCATTGAAAATATATTCTAGGAGCTTTTGACAAAGTTATTTGATTGGAAAAAATTCTTGGTGAATTACAAGCAAATAAAGATAACTATTCTTAGCACGGACAATCTCCATCTGAAATTATCATTTATTTCATCTTGGACTCAATTGACAATTGCGAGATGCCAGCATTGACTGCAACAAACATGAAGCTATAAATGACTCATAAACAGGGTAATAATGTGTCCAGTGAGGCACACTGAACAGAGGCATAGCCATGTAAATATTAATCAGCAATTTTTGTTTAAAAAGGAATATATATATATATATATATATATATATATAGGAAAAGTATATAAGGAGACCATTTACTTTTAGTACAAGGATGTCACAATCAAATCTTGTCTGTCAAATTTTAAATTGGATGGTTGTAAGTATGTTATCAACTACCCCGTTATTCAGTAACTTGGGTAATTAAGGAGCAAGGGGGAAACTTAGCATATATTATAATGGCTCACTCCAAGCTTTGGTTGGATAATGAGGTAGTTGAAATTTACCTAGAAATCAAAATTAAAATTTCGAGGCCCCCATGAATTAATGGCATTTTAATTTGAATGATTGCTGAAATGTTTTCTTGCATATATAGAGAAGCTTGATAGTACATATCCAATCACGATCATTTTCAATTCTTTAATTTGAATAAAAAGTAGTGTTTTCTAAGTATCCAGCCATTATAATTGCAATCGATCCAAATTACTTGAGAGTGGAAAGCGTCACAACCCTTGGATCACTCAAATCTGAAATTGAGAAATGGATCTTCCTTTTTTGTATAGTGGGAAAAGAATTAGATAAATTCGTTTTTGATAAATGAAATTCCTTTTACTGCAAAAGAAAAAACAACCAGCAAAAATGGTTTTATCAATAAAATAAAATGCAAACATGTACAGAACTTCAATGGACGTTCTTGCACCAGTGAATACAATCAACAGAAGCATCATGAGAAATCACACGTAACCCACATTATGAATCATATAAAATAAATGATAAAATGCAGATATAATAGTAAAAAATATTACGACAGTAATTTTACTCAAACAAGAGAGAGAAATTTACTTTTGAGCCAATTCGTAACAATGGTTGCAGCGATCAGATGAGAGCAAACAGACAAAGATTGATATCAAGAACCTTTAAATCCCCTTTAACACTGCATTTTGTTCTTGGAAAAAAAGGAAAGAAAAAGGAAAACTTTCCCATTAAAAGAAAGAGCAGAGAGAAGAAAAGAGAAATGGGGTTGATACCTTGTAAGAGCCATCGTTTTGGGGTTGACCCAATCGCTTGATCTCTTCTTTGAGCCTCTCCACTTCTTCATCAACATTCAAAGCCATCTCTCTCTGTGTTTATTTTTTAAGATAAAAGAAAACGGTGGAGAAATATAGATTTCGCCCTCCTTTCAAGATTAGATATAAGTTTTTCGCCTTTTCAACGGGTCCTTAATCATTTTCCCTTTCCATAAAGGGTGAGGTTTGTACAAGTTGACAACCTTATACTATTCAAGTAAGGTGCACCTCAAGACCATGCCGAAAATGCAGTTTTTGTGCCGCAATGCTTTGTGATGATATGAAAATATATTGTTGCCCCTAATTATGAAATTTAAAGTATCATTAATTATGTTGATCAAGCAGATCCATAAAATACTTAAAAATCTTGAAAATGGACAGTCCAGATAATATGTTAAAAGATTAACTATTTTTAAAACTAGAAATCCATTTGTTTCCATGTCGATGAATCTTGAAGTCAAGATGATCCGTATGAGGGTTTTTAAACGTAGAAACAACCTTTTCTAGAGGGTTTTTTAGGTGCACCGTATTCGTGTAGTACAAGGTTGACATCTAATGTAAACTTTTTCTTCTTCTAAAATGAAAAATGAAGCCTAGAGATCTCTCCCTCCCTCCTTTGGGGATTAGATAATGACTGAAGTTTATATAAGGCTTAGGTTTTATGAAAATAAAATAAAATCTCACTTTAAATTCTCATTTGAAAAATACTTTCAGTAGTCGAAATCTCCATCATAACACTAAAATCAATTTCCAACACCAATAATAAAATTTGAAACTAAAAAAATACAAATCTTACGGATATATGAACACTTATTTTTAGGGCGAGATGGATGGTCTAGATAATTTGTTGTAATATACAATACTTTTAGATATTGAAATTGTATTGTTTTTTTCACAATCATAACTTTAGGCTGAGATGATCATGTAAATGTTTTCCAACACTTGAATTGCAAATTTCAATGAGTTATGAGGTGATGCTTTACTTATTTTGATAGTGTTGTAACCCTATCAAACCATTTTCCTTAAAACATTTCATTTTAAAATTTATTTTGGATTATTTTTTTTATAGAAATTCAAAGCTTTATTAATCTAGAACTAAAATAAATTATAGAGTTTGAGACGATAGTCTAAATTAAAAAGTACCTCCTTTGGCACGGAAGTCTGTTAAACCATCGGCCTCACGGAAGACATGCACGAAGGAGAAAAAGAAAGGTCTAGATATATCCCAAATTTGGAGCAACATGGACCGAAGTTCCCAATGTGGTTTTGACTTCACTCAATGACAGTAAGAGAATCACTTTCCACCACACCAAGGGATCCTAAATTCCTTGCCACAAAAAGTTTTAATCCACAGAAGAGAGCCATTAATTCCGCACTAGTTCTGTCTCCCAGTGGGAATGCATTGGAAAAGATAACAGCTCCATTCCAATCCCTCACCACTCCTCCAAAGCCAGTAGGACACGGATTAGCTATAAAGCTCCCATCAAAATTAAGTTTAGAAACCCCAACCGAAGGGGGTATCCATCTCCCCTGAGGCCTGCATTTAAAATGCCTCAAATGGAAAAGATTTGTTAAATTTCTCCTAACATCCACTTCAAGAATGTCTTTTCCCGCTTTTGTGATAGAACATGAAAGAAATGGAATATAAAATTTTCTCTAGAATGATTTCCACAGGCAAATAAATCCCATCAAACACTCTTCTATTTTTTCTCCTTCTAGACGTCCCAAAGAATCAACCCTCTCGCTATTTGCCAAATAACCACACCAGTTTGTGGAAGTCAAGAAACTGCGAAATTCGAAATAATCCCTTTAACTGTTGTAGGCATAACCATGACACTCCCAAGCTGGTCAAAGAACCAGTGCCAAATATTAAGCGTAAAAAAGCAATGCAAGAAAAGATGGGCTCCTGTTTCAGCATCATTTTTACATAATAAGCAAATATTTGGCAAGATATTTCCTCTTTTGATGAGGTTATCAACAGTGAGAACCTTATCTTACACTGCTAGCCACAAGAAGCCTTGAATCTTAAGCGGTACGGGCCATTTCCAAACAACAGTAATTTCCGACATAGACCTCCAACGATCATGGAAAAGTAAATTATACATAGACTTCATTGAAAATAGTCCATTTGAAGCAAGCTCCCAGACAACCTCATAAGCTTCGTTCTGCAGAATATACACCTATTGCAGAAGAGCTAACAAACGAACAAATTCCTGGTCCGAAATTCTATTATAGGGGAGGACAATATTCCAGAAAACCTGGTTACCTCTGATTTCAAAAATATCAAAAATAACGGCATCGGGATTATCCATAAGCTGAAAAACCAAAGGGAAAACATGTTTTAGAAGGGAATCACCTAGCCATTTATGATAACAAAAAAAAATATTACAACCATCCCCAAGATTCCACCTAATATCCCTATGGATCAAAGGTTTACATGACTTAATAGATCTGCAGCAATAAGACATCCTCCTTGTACCATTTTTTAATCCAGCCCACATATGAAATCTATCTTCTCCATATTTAACAAAAATAACTTGATACCATAGCCGGTCTTTGAAATTTAAGCTTCTCCACCACCATTTACACGGCAAAGCCTGATTAACTAATCTAATTTTCCTTATACCTAAACCACTTTCCTTTCTAGAAGTACACACCCTATCCCAATGGAGGTGGTATTTTTGAAATTATCAAAAGAACCCCAAAGGAAGTTTCGCATCAACACTTCAATTTTCTTGGCAACCCGAGGAAGAATCTATAGTAAAGACATTTGATAGATTGGCCAATTTGACAAGCAAGCTTTAACTAAAGTAATCCTTCCACCCAAAAAAAGATATTTATACTTCCATAAATCAAGCTTAACTTATATCTTTTGAATCACTTTATCCCAAACGACCATAGGTAGGCATCCATCTGAAATTGACATCCCCAAATACAAATTAGGGAAAACTTCTACCTTACATTCCAGCACCTCTACAATATCACGAATCAAAGACTCATCACAATTAATACCAATTGCTACAGATTTTTCAAAATTAACCTTAAGCCCCAAAGACACTTCATAGTATTGCAAGAAAGTAGCAATATTTTCAATTTGGTCCCAATTAGCCTCACAAAAAAGCAATGCATCATCAACGTATTGTAAGTGCGATATACATAGACCATTATTAGGCAGAAGAAATTCTTTAAAGTGTCATTTTACTTCAACGTTTCGAACAAAGCGATTAAAGCACTCAGCATAAATGGTGTACGGGAAAGGGGACAATAGATCACCTTGACGAAGACCACACGAGGCTCCAAATAAACCAGAAGGGCATCCTTTGAAAAGAATAGAAAAATGTGCAGATGATAAGCACCCATATATCCAACTTCTCCATTTGGATTTTTCATGATCACTCCTCAGCCGTAATTAGACTGCATCATTCTTATAATTGTGAATTCATATATCCAAGGGTATATGTATTATTTGTAATTGAATATGTGTTTCAAATCATAAATCCTTGAAAAATTAGGGCAGACATATGCATCCAGCCGATGCCCAATAAGATTTCGCAATATTTCCCGTTAAAAAACCAATGGGTGTGGTTTGTATAAGGTTGAGGCCCTAAACAGTCAAATTAAGGTGCATCTTCAAATAGTGTCAAAAGACGATTCATCACTAGAAATCTTGGTGATGTCTTTAAAATTCATTTTTATTTCTAATTATAAAATTGAAAGCTTGAAAATTAGTGTAGATCTACCAGATCTATGAACACTTAAAAATTTTGAAAATAGACGGTCCAGAAAGCATTACAAGATGCACCATTTTCAAGACTTAAAATCTATTTTTCTCAAGTCCATACATCTTGAGGTCGAGATGAACAATTTGAGGATGTTTTGGCATCAACACAACATCTTCTAATGGATTTTTGATGTACTCCTTAATTTGATTATTTAGAGCCTCACCCTTATATAAACTTTTCCTAATACGAATTCCCAATATTTGCAATTTCCCAATATTATATGTTGCATATCGTTGTGAACAAGTGGATTAAACAGTCCAAACAATAGATCGCACAAAGTTCGAATAACATATTCCGTGGAACCCACTGCCACCTTCATCATACAAACCAGTCCTGAACGGTGTCAACCGCATGTTTATGGTCATGCTACTATGATTACCATATGGAATATTTTCTTCTTCAGCTAAACTATTCTTCATAGCGATACCGGGACCGTTGATCGGACGATCAAGATGCAATTTTGGACATGTGAAAGATGATCATGCGGAACTTGTTTGAAAATTCGTTATATTTTTCTTCCAAAGCCTGGTTTGATGGTGGAACTTGTGTGTCAGGGGACGCACTTCTACAATGGCGTCATGCGGCTCCTGATGCACATAACATCATCTTCGAGTTGGATTTGAAAAAAGGGTATGGTTTGTATACGGCTGAGGCACTAAACAATTGGAACCTTCAAATAATATCAAAATATGTTTATTTTAGTATTGAAAATATTTATGATGTTTTGAAAAATTATTTTTACATATAATTATAAAATTTAAAATTTCAAAAAAAAAATGGTGTAGATTGAGCATATCTATAAACACTTTATAATTTTAAAAACTGACGACGCAAAAAATACATTACAAGATGCATTATTTCTAATATTAAAATCCATTTTTTCTCGACGCCATATATCTTAAGGTCGAGATGATTTATTAGAGGATTTATGGCCATTGAAACAATATCTTCTATTGAATTTTTGAAGTGTCGTCTCAATTTGATTGTTTAGGGCCTTACCTTTATAAATAAATTTTTTCCACCAACAAAAATTTGACGTTTAAAATTGGAAAAAAGTTTATATAAGGTTGCAATCTTAAAATGTAGAATTACATATGCACCACAAAAGTCCATCAATGGATGTTTTAATGTTGAAAAACCTTCTAATTGATCATCTCGACAACGAGATATATGTATATGTAAAAAAAAAATATTTTGAGCCTCATAAATAATATATTTTGCAATACATTATCTAGACCGTCTATTTTCAAGATTTTTATATGTTAATTTTATAGATCTACTTGATGTTAAACGTTTTTGAAATTTAAAATTTTATAATTAAATATAAAAATAGATTTTAAAAAAATCCTAATAAATTTTATACAAAAATTTAAAAAAATTTGGAGGTACAATTCAATTGGATTGTTTAAAGTTGCAACCTTATAAAAACTGTTCCCTTTAAAATTACCTCACCTAATTTTTTCCTTTTTTTTTTGTTTAGGTTCATGTTTATTATGGTTGAGATTTCCATTTCTTAAAATTTTGAATTCCTTTGTCCTTTAAATAGGTGAGTAATGGGAACCGTGTACTCGAGTAAAACAATATTACTAAAATAGCCCTATTTTATTTTTAATTGACGCTCCAATCCTTAGCACTAAGGAGAAATGACTATTACGCCCATGGTTATCCGTTCTCTTTCCAAACCTTTTACAGGTTGGATGGCATGCATAATGTGCCGATCTTAAACAAATTGATGATTTTCCTTTTGGATCATCGATCTAGATGAGAATCGATCAGGACTATATCAGTTTTGTGTTGATCCTAAACAACTCAATGATTTCTCTTCTGGATCATCGATCTAGATGAGAATCGGTCGAGAGTACATCAATTTTATGATAGTATATATCTTGGTTCAGTTCCTCTTGAAATCGCCTATATAATTCTCTCTTTTTCTAAGTTTATTTAATGTTTCTTTTGGTAAACTTTATATCCCCACCCTATAAATGTTTATTTTAATTTTTATATTGTCTTATTTATTTTAATAGTTTTTTTTATCACTGATCCAAATCAATCTAGACTTGATGTAAATTGCCAATCTAACCATTCAACATGAGTATGTGGGTGAACGATATGCCCTGCTTATTCAAATTTTGAAACACTGAATCAAAGAAAAGCATATCTATGAAGTGTATTGAACGATGTAGTTTTCTTTTTCCTATATTTTATTCTTGAAGATACTGAAATATATAGTTTTGTAACTTTTGTTGTTAAAAAACTATGTGATGGCCTAAAAGTTTATTTTTGGGGAAAATATGGATTTTCTAGGCACTTAACCCCAACCTAATTTTTTCTAGCAACTCTTCCCCCTATAAACTATGCTTCTTAGCAAATACCCCCAATACAAAAAGTTCATTTTCTTTTTAATTTTTAATTTTTTTTATTTATGAAAATACCATTCCGTTATATAACAAATCATTTTCGCTGGATACGGCGGATAGGCATTTGAAAGAGGCGATCGGGTAATTATTTTGTTGGAATGCGCGGTCCGGCATTTGATTGTGGTGGTCAGGGGATTGTGCTATTGGAGAAATGGGCAGTCCGGTGTTTTGAAATAGCGGTCTAGAATTTTGAAAGGCCAGTCCGGCGTGGCGGTCGGAGGATTGTGCTATTGGAGAAATGGGCAATCCGGTGGTTTGAAATAGCGGTTTGGGATTTTGAAAGGCCAGTCCGGCGTTTTGAAGTGGTGGTACAACGCAGTCTGGCGGCCGTCCGGCATTTTGAAGTGAGTAGTCCGGCTTTTTGAAGTGGCTATCCAGCTTTTTGAAGTGGCCGTCCGGCTTTTTGAAGTGAGCAGCCCGTCATTGTACAAGTGTAGTCTGGCGTTTCCTTTTATTGAGATCTGAAAATGATTTGTTATATACAGGAAATGTATTTTAGTCAAAAAATTGAATTTTTTGTATTTAAGGTATTAGCTAAAAGAAATTGGTTTTGAGAAAAAATATTTGGTAAAGTGCCTAGAAAATCTATATTTGGAGGTTTTAAGTAATTTTCCTTATTTTTGCCCCTAATCATGAAAACTAAAGCTCCAAAATTTGAAAATCTTAAAAATAAACGTCCCAAATAATATGCTACAAAATATCTTATTTTGAAAACTTACATAGTTTGTTTCATAACGATAAAACTTAGGATGAGAAGATAGATTGAGTGGTCTTATAGCAACAAAAAAACCTTTTCTGGTGCTACGAAAATTACACGCTAAATAACCAAAATGAGGCGAATCTGGACCGTTCAAATGTTGATGAATATAGATGTAGGACCCACAATGTAATGGACGCCCAGGCGTGACTTTCGAAATGTCCCGATATGGTATCTGGGCCGTCAATTCCCATTTGTGGGTCCCACATAGTTAGGCCGGTAAACAGAACAAAGAAAGAACGTTAGGCCTGAATATAATGAACGGCCTAGATTCGCCCAATTCTCTTGGCCTCCCTTCAAGGGTACAATAGTCATTTATGGTAAAGATCTAGGGTATTATAGTCATTTTGCTTTTAGTTTTTGTTTCTTCTGATGTTTTGTCGGTGTTATAAGCGGCGTACTTCAATTCTCATAAAAAAAACATTATATAAGAAAAAAAAGGAAAAAAAGACAAAATTCGTTATTTTTCATGAACGCTTGAGAAGAAGCAGAATCACGAAAAGGTGATACACTTAAAGTTTCTGGTATGTATATTTGTTCCATTATTTATTTTTTAAATGGGGATTTTAGACTGACAGAATAATGTCTCTGGTAATGGTGATCTTCCCCGTTTCAGGGTTTTTTTAGGGCTTCTATTGACCTTATTTTGAGAGAAGCATGAATATTTAGACTTATGGGTTCTTATGGTGATTTGCGTCTTGTATGTCTTGGAGTTTCTATGCAGACGATGTTTTGATGTAGGGTTTTGAGATTTTATCCTAGAGAGTGGGTGAAGGTGTTTTTACTGGGTTTTCATGTTAGAGAGTTGAAACCTGTCTAATTTACCTTGGGTTTGTTTTTGTAAGCTGTGATATAAACTGGGTTCGAATATCCATCGTTTAATGCATTGAGTACTTAGCAAAAGGAAGAGGAAAAAGTGAGAAGATTAGAGTTGTTCATTGCTCGACAAAGAGTTTTTCTGTGACCTTCTGAGTACGCTATTTTCTGTATATTCTCTGTGAATTTGGGGGTTTCCTGCAAAGCCAGCCCTGTGTTTAGGGTTTTCTTGAAGGCCGTTTTGTCTTATACTCATGCTTTAAGATTTTTGGAAGCGAAATTGATGTGTTTCCCTGAGAACCAATTGATACACAGAACGCCGAAGTTTTGTTTCAATTCTGTATGAACGTAAGGTTTTCTGCAAAACCAGAAAACCCATTTTCATTTTTTCTTTACAGAAACCGTTTTCTTCTCATTCTTTTTCGAGCTTTGCTGTTTGATGTATGTGATAAAAATTTCTTTAATTGAGAACATTAAAACAAAGGGACAGTTGCCCCGTTATCTAAACCAGGTGTTGCATGATCAGAGATAGCCTTTAAATGGGAATTCAAGTGTGCCCAATGCCCACATTCGCATCATGAATCTAACTAACCAGATGAACGAGATGCAACCTGAGCCCCAAGACCATCATCAAATGGACCCACATTACATGGATGATCATGACCATGGCCTTGAGCATGCCGATGATGTCATCGAGGATGACGATGATGGTGGTGGTGGTGATGACACCATGGATGGTGATATCCCTTCAGACTCTGGCAATGTTCCTGATCCCAATGCCATAATTCCTATGAGGGGTCAAGGATCAAGTCAGCTTACTCTCTCCTTTCAGGGTGAGGTCTATGTGTTCGATTCGGTCTCACCTGAAAAGGTACGAGAATTATATTCCCTTGTTTCTGTGTATATGAAGCAATCTTATATTGATATATTTGCTTTGGGATATATACAGGTACAAGCAGTGCTTTTACTATTGGGAGGACGCGAAATACCTTCTGCTCTTTCCGCCATGCCACTATCCAGTCATCAGCTCAAGGTATTGATGTATATTTGGCAACTTCTCATAGCATGTTCTGATTTAGAATTTTCTCTTTTTTTTGATTGGGTGTTCTATTTTGGAGTTCCATCTTTTATTTTTCTAATATGAACAATTTTCAGGGCATTAATGATCTTCCTCATCGCTTAAAGCTGCCCCACAGAATCGCTTCTTTGATCAGATTCAGAGAGAAGCGAAAAGAGCGATGCTTTGAGAAGAAGATTCGGTACACTGTCCGTAAAGAGGTTGCCCTCAGGTGCGAGTCCCATGTCATAGTTTGATAATATTTCATGCGCTTCAAAACTGGAATAAGTTATGAATGTAATGGAAATGTACTGAATTTAAGGAAAAAAGGCTGTATCACTCGCTTATGTTAAACTTAGATGGGTATTTTGTTTTTGTTTTTTGAATATGTTAACTGTTGTATTGAAAGAGGTTGAGGAAGTACAAGTGTCTATGGAGGCGACCCACAAGTCGGGTCCCTCGGCAAAAAAACTTAGATGGGTATTTTAAGGACTATTATATTTTTTGATTATGCCATTATTTGTAAAGTCCTGTAAAGGAAGTGCATGGATTCATTATTACATGTCGTATTCTTTAACTATATAGCTCAGGTTAATACTTATTAAATAACATGAGACATAAATTCTAGTTTTGATACATTCTCCCACGTACCTACGAACCTACTGTCACCGAAAACCTTAGAGATGGTTCCCGCAATAAGGGACTTGAACAATCCACGGAAGTGCTATCGCTTATGCCAAGGTTTACGATTCGCATTCCTTATCTAGTTCTACTACTAGACTACTGAGATGAGTCAGCAGATGTGAGTCTTGTTTCCCTGAGATATAAATTATCGTTTTGTTAGACACAGAATATATATAGTAAAACAAACCTTATTAACTTATTGTTTGAAATGGAGGGTTTATGAAAACTTTGTGACATGGGAGGTCCCCTCTGGCGCCAAATATAGAACTAATTAAAACCAAATCCTAGCCAGTTGGCTTTTTGTTAATTGGTTAACCTTGCAATATTATTAGCACATCGGCCATTGTATTGGGTAAGCATGTTTACTCAACTTCCCTAAGTGATGTCTGTTCCAATGGTAATCTACCTCATCGAAGTCATTCCCTGTAATGGCTTTCCATATGTTTTAGTCATTCAAAGCCATAAGAGGAAGTAACCACTTGGTGTTCGATTTCCTGTTGTAATACTGAGACCTCCCTTGCTGTCTCATCCATTGGCCAGATTGATTAGCAAAACATGCAAGTCTTCCTAGCTGTGTCCTTCTGAGACCTCCCTTGCTGTCTCATCCATTGGCCAGATTGATTAGCAAAACATGCAAGTCTTCCTAGCTGTGTCCTTAGTGGGACAACTGACCATGGTGCTTCCTTCCTAGTGAAACCCAACACATGCTTAGTAAAATGTTCAGGTCATCATGGTTGAATTCCATCTCTCTAACTTGGCAAAGTGGGGATCCATGGTTATCTTCTTAAGCTGATTATAGGGCTGCAGCATCAACCACAGTGTGATATAGTATGTCTTTAGACTTTACTTCTTGATTGAGGGGTTTTACTTTATTTATTTATTTTTATTTGACAAATGCGGCGTCATTAATGTCTTTGGCAAGATTGTATTGTGATAGGGTAACCACATGGGAATGCCAATTTGGGAGTGAGGAATGTTCTCCAAGTGCAAGGTTCTTGCAATTTAGATCTTATTCCACATTCCCTAAAGAAAGAACGGAAAACCTTACCTTTGAAAGTTCTGCTTGTCACCTATAAAATCTTGATTCCAAAAGCAATCTCCCATTCCTCTAGAAAAACCACAATGAAAGATTAAATGATTATATGTCAATTGCCTCCTTACCAACATTATAGCAAAACAGTAATATATTGTGCAGGTGTCCCTTGTTGACATCCCAAGATCATGGTTCAAAAACTTGGCTGGTCAACCTCGAACTCACCCAGGTTGACCTGACCTTCCATGTCATTAATTGGACTCTCTTGTGTACCCAGTTTCATTTTACTCAAGCCTGATTTTTTAGCTTCACTTGTTGACTCTTGCAACTTGTCTGAGTGTATGTAATTAGATGAGCTTTGTTATTTCACTGTTCGAAAATTCGACTGCCCGATCGCCTATGCGAAAAATTCAAAAAACGCCTAGGCGTTGTCTAGGCAGGGTCATTATGCGCCATGTCTTTGGGCGACCCCCTAAGCAGTCAAGGCGCTGCCCAGGCACTAATGTCTGGGCACCCACCTGTGACACTTTGCGTATGGGCGGAAAAAAAACCTCGGCGAGGGTCAAAAAATTTTATTTTTTAAGGGGGAAAAGGGTTTTGGGGGGTATACTAAACCCCCAAACAAAAACCGTGGCCTTTAGGGTGAGAAAACCCCCCAAACACCACTTTTTTGTGATTTAACGAAAGATCAATAAATATTTTTATTTTTTCGATTTCTTCCCAAAACAAAAGCAATAGTTTGTGGGTGGATTTGGAGCTTCGAGTAGTTGATTTTGAAAACTTTTGATGACCCAATCGATGAGGTTTGCACCGACATTGATTTGATTTTGATATTTTTAAAGTATTATCATATTTGAAAAAGGCTTTTGATTTTATTTTGCTACAATATATTATGTTGTGAATCATGTGTACTTTGTTTTACTTTTTTTTCTCTTACGATATATTAAATTGTTTGTAGGTAAAAGATTGACTTTTTTTTTGATTAATTGATTTTTTTTTTGATTAATTGATTTTTTTCTCATTTGGACAATGAAATTGTGCATATAATGTATTCTTTTATGAATAGTTGATTACTTTTTTTTGACAATATATCATGTTTTGTTATTCTATTATTATTATTATTTTATTTGATAAATAATTGATTACGTATTTATGTTATATCTTAATAAATTAAGTTTTAATTCTTAAGGTGAAACTAAGATCTTATATATTCATTTAAGTCTTATTGTAAAGTAATATTAAGTCATACTGTTTTTAAACTATGGGGGCAATTTTTTTGAGGATTATGAGGGAAACCTGTTCCTAAGCGGGCTCCTAGGTGGGCGGCCAGGCACCCAAAACGCCTAGGCGCCCGAATCTGCTTGTTTGAACATTGGTTATTTGATGAGTTTCTTCTTTGCTTAAATAAAATATTTCTTCTCCAATTTATGGCAAGGGTCTAAATGTTATGCTCGTATTTATCTTATTCCATTTTAGATTCTCTTGATTAGGAATGTAGGACATCTCATCTTCCACATATCCTTTATCATTAATTTTTAAAATATATTCTTATGATACTTTCTATTTAAGCCTTCTTTTTGTTTTTTAAATTGTATCATAACAATATCACTATAATTTCTGTTCTTTATGGCATTGTATAATGATATGATTATCAAGGAAGCCAATTTCTAACTTTACTTCTTTCATTTCTAAGCATGCAAGGCCTCTCTCTCTCTTTCTCTCTCTCTCTCTCTCTCTCTTACTCTCTCTTTCTCTCTCTCACTCACTCACTTACTCACACATACACAGACTCACACACACAAAAAAAAAAACAGTTTTTTTTGATTTATAGATGGTATAGGTTGCCGAGTCAGATGGAGTAACATGTAGACCGAGCTGAGTTCGAGTCTGGAGTTTTCTAACCATACCCTAAACTTGTTCATGCCCTATAAGCTTGGGCTTTCTTCAGTTTGTATTCTGTTTGATTCATGTTATTAATATTTGGTATTTCAAGCGATTATATTTGTTCATTGTGCTTGGGAGGCATATTTGTTGGATTTTAAGCTCATGATTTTATCAGAAAATCTGTTTCAATAATTTACTTTAACGATTTGGAAAACTTTCCAGTACTTCATCAGTATTTTATTCTTTATTCAAAGCCAAACAGTTTATCTGAATCTTTTCCAATTTTCTCGATATAGAGAGTCAAAAAGTGGATCTCTATACTTTCTTGGTGGGTAGAAAAAAAAGAAGTATCTAAATGAATATTTGTGAATCTTTTCTCCACAAAAAATAGAAGATATTATCGGAATCTTTTGCCTGTAGGGTGGATAATACTTACTCTAAATCTTTTTTAAACAAATATCTAAAAGTTAAAAATATATTTTATCTTACTAGTAACAGATAACGTTTATTTTTTTTGGTATGAGCATACATTAGAAAAAATTTCTACTTTTCTCTGACTTGTTAACCTTTATTTTTAAAGCATTATGTATGTTGTATAATATATAGTAACTGTACGAGGGACACCTAGAACATTGGCATATGTGTTATCATGTACGTAACTGCTTGTTACCATTCAATAACAGTGGATAAGCATATCTGAATAGCATCTTTTCTAAAGTATTTTGACTCAAGATTTTATTGTTTCCATGTCTCAATAACAATTTATTGTTCCATGGTGCACACGTACAAAATAAGGAATAAACAGGAGTTTCCATGATTTTACCACCTAGTCAATTTCAATAGTCCCTCTTCCATTGCCATATGTATTTACATGAATCTTTTATCTAGAAAAAGCCATATCGTTCTCAGCACTTTATTTGCCTTTCAATCCTATGGTGTTCTGTTAGGTAGGAAAAATATAATACCTCCCGGATGGCATATTAGAATGGAAAATCTGTTAGCTAATAACTATTTTTGCTAAGCTGTCTCTTGCAATAACCAACATGTTGAAGTACTTTTTATACGTATAGTTAGTGATAGCCATTGATTGGCATTTATATTGGGGAAAGCTTTCTATGTGACCCCACGCACATATAAATTATATGTGACCCACTTCTCAGCCGTTCGATCTAAATGGATGGCTAGGATTGTTTGTGTCACATTGTCATGCCAAAACACTGTTTTATTTTTTATTTTTTTCCCTACAAAACCTTTTTTAGTCCAATTTGGGGCATCCCACCTTCTCATTGGGGCGTACCGAGCAAAACAAAAAAAAAAATCTCGTGAAAATAGATAAACCAAAATGCCCCCAGAATTTGGGATTATTCTGATAATTTTCCACTAAATATTTTATATTATTTTTATCATATGTGCCCATGTCAGATGTATGCATGCCCCAAATTTCATTGCAAAATGATTTGTATAATGAAAATTAAAAATAAAACACTTCGAGCTGTCAAATCAAGATCTGATGCTCAAGAGCCAACTTGTGACATTGTGATCGAGCCCACCTAGCCATCTCTACTTAAATCTAACAGCTGAGACCAGGAGTCACATATGCGTTATATGTGGGTGGGGTCACATGTAAAGCTTCCCCTTTATATTGATGTTGGAGAGTGAGTTTTTGTAAGGTAATAGGCCCTTTTGGGAGTGGGTTGGTCATTTCAATAGGGAAAAGAATGGCCTTGGTAGTCCCAATTGAAGTGGCTTTTTGAGGAGAATTGTTGTTCTTGAAAGATCTATCTTGTGTTTGGTACTACATGGTTTGGCACTGTAAACCCAAATTATTCTCCTGAAACTCATCCTCTTTACGTGAAATGATTTGCTTGCCCCTAAATGACCTGCATTGATAGGGAATTCCAATTCCTTGTGCTGTCTAGTACATCCTAATAGATTGCCTTATGGGTGCCAGATTTTGGGTGCCCATACCATGTCATAAATAAATCCTCCTCTATCAGTTGCTGGTTCGGGGTTTCTTGTCCCTCTCTTCTTGGACCTTTTTTTGTATTTTTCATGTAGTCAATTTTTGTATCATATCTAATTGATTCCTTGGTTACCTCTTGGGACCCAATTTTATGTTCATAGATTTCTTGATTTCTCCTTCGTAGATGCCTGTGGTATTGGTGGTGGCCCGACAAGAAGACATCCACGGGATTGACTTGTCGACTCCTTGAACAGTACTAATACTCCTTGGATAGTACATTAACACCTCAATAGTGCATACTCCCCTTGCAACGATGTATACCTTTCTTGCCTCCCTTCCATGGTTGCTCCTGCCTAGGTTTTGTGGACGAAATCACTTCCTTTGGGATGATTGAATAGGAAATTATTTTTCCAATCCCTCAACATCCATTAATTAAATTGATTCAGGCTAGTGAGGAAGTCTATATATTCAATTGGGAATAGTTAGAAATGGAGTCATGATGGATGGAACGGCAAACCAAACCACCTGAGTTGGGAACACTCAAAATTGATCTGTAGCAGGATTTCATTGATAACTGTTTACTATTTTGACTTCTAACCTAAATGCTTTGAGACCCTTCTTAGATATATCAGTGAAATTTGGTAATACGAGATAGAATACACCTTTTGAACTTCTGCATATTTTCAGACATTGAAAAGATATTGCTAAGTCATTTCCCTAGAGGCCTGGATTTTTAAAGTAATTGGAGAAATACTTGGAGGAAACTCTTTTCCTATGCCACCTATTTGTTCAGAAATGATGGTCCCTTAACTAGCTTGGAACTTAGTTAGTGAAAAACTTCTGGAAAGCACCAACAGGAACCCTTGCAAGCATTGTAATGCTTTTGTTCTACTTATTTTAACCATCCTCAATTTGTGATCATAATCTATGCAAATGTGTTCTTTAATTATCTGAAGCAATTTTACATTTTACATTTCTAGTTCTTTATCCAAAAAGAAAATATTGCATTTCTATTATGCCTGATAGATGCATTGTAACACTGAGAAGAAGTTTCCACAGTTGCCCTTTTGATTGTTTTTATCGAGGTGTCTTATTTTTCTTCTAATTGGAAAAGAAAAAATCAACCTTTTGCCTTTAGCTAGGGTTGCTTTTGTCCCCCCCCCCAAAAAAAAAAAAAGTTTCTAGCTGTCTGTCACTTTTACCCATGCCTGTAAGAGTTGGGATTTTCTTCCATTTTTACATTAATCCCATTATATTCTTCACTAAAGCTGCTATATAAGATTTGGTTAACTTTAGTTTACACTGAGAGCAAAATTATGGTCCAGTTAAATAATAGCAGAATCCTAGTTACATTTAAATAGTGGAAAAATTTTAAGTATCATGTTCTGCAATGGCTTAAAGTCAATTTCCATAAAATGAGAAACAAACAAGTTATATAATTATTGATAACATCATATTTATGGTGACTGGGGTGCTTGTTAGCTTTCTATTATTTGTAATAGAATTGATTTATTTCTGTTTGTGTTACAACCTATCAGGATGCAGCGAAAGAGAGGTCAGTTTGCAGGGAAGGGGAATCCTGACGATCCAGATGCAGCCAATGCTGGTTGGGACAGTCAGACTTGGCCTCAGGATGGCAATGAACCAAAACATTTTTCAAAGTAAGTGCCCAAATCCGATTTCCAATTTTTTTTTTTCATCTCTCAAAGTAAGTGCCCAAATCCTATTTTCAATTTTTCTTTTTGTAGTCTCTCTCTCTCTCTCTCTCTCTCTCTCTCTCTCACGCATGCATGTGCTTTGCAGACTGTGTGCATGCATGTTTTTTCACATGATTCATCCACTTTTTCATTAACTTGTATATGGGAAAGGCTCGATATTTATGTCCCTTGATCCATCTAGACTGCTTGGATAAATCCTTCAAGGGCTTGCTGTATGGGAAGGCTTGATATTTGCTATTAGTTATTTCTAGTTTCATCATGATTGTCTTGGGCATCATACATTTTATATTTTGGATAATTGAATTCATGGAGATTAAATTCAATTGACACCTTCTTTTATATCACATTATGGCCATCAAGAAGAGTTTGTTCCATGTGTTTTACAATATGTAAAGCGACTTGAGTTGAATCTTGCTCCTTGCACATTTTAAGTTGCATTATATGGATATTATAATATCTTTTCGAGTTTTTATTACAATCTAAATTGAAAAAAGTTCTATAGATTTTGAAACTGGTATATAAATCCATCCTCAGGTGATAAATAGAAGAATACGAAATTTGTTTGGTGAAGGTATTTTTGCAATGTGAGTCAAATGGATCTGTTCGACATATTTTACTGTTTTCCCCTTCTATATTTGGGATTTCAAAGTTCGAGCAAAATTTTTATAAAGGAAACATCTATTGCAGTTTTGAAATATTGGTCAAGTGAGAACAAAAAGTAAAGATATATAAAATTTTAGATGAATTCTACAAAAATGCTTTTGGTATTTCCAATATTAAAACATGGGTAAAATGGTTATTAAAATGGGGTTACAAGTGAAAAAATCTCCCATCTTAAGTTCCTGCATGAGATGAACACCTGCATAACCTATGCAGTTCTGGCCTGATATTTCCCCTTTTTTGTTACTTTGAATTTATGTTTTAAATGGTAAGCACGATTGTAAGATTTCTGAATGTGGATTAATTACTTTTGGCATGTTAGTTTTCCTAGTTTCATATCTCATTTTGGCCTGAATACTTCAATGTAGTGATTGATTATTTCATTTGATGTGGAACATAAGTCTTTCCCTATTATGTATGGGAAAATGATTTCATGCAACCGTTGTATAGTAATATGATGCAATGACCTTAAAAAACCATGTTATGGCCATCTGTTTGATCCAAATTTTGAAATATACACTCTTTTCATTCTAATGAACAATCACAAAAAAAGAAAAAAATTGAAAACACAACTTAAAAAGTATTTTTTAAGCCCAATTAACATAGGCTGTTCATTTTGGTGAGATGATTAGATCTGGGCCTTAGAAGGATTTTTTCATTTCCAATTTTTTTTGGATGGCTTTATTATCATTAGATGAACAATGTTAAAAAAGGAAAAAATGATTTTGAGTTTACAAATGATTTTTGAGTTAAGATCTTGAAATTTACAAAAGGAATGGTCTAGATTCGTTTTTGGAGGGGACTCATTTTAACCATATCTAGGGTTCAAATTGAACTTTTTTTTTTTTGGGATTGATTATTGAGATGAAGAGAGAGTGTGCGAAATTTGGAGTCATACAAATACCACAAACATGGTTTTCTAGAAGTGTATTTCCATTATACTATAATACAACCGTGGCATTGGATCATTGCTCATTATGTATCGGAACATAATCGGTTACTTTAGAGCTGTAGGTGTGTTTTACCTTTTTACATATTAAATATATGATTGATAGTTTCAGTTAATCGTTTGTTGATTTTTATCTTTAAGTATTAAGAGTGCTTGGAATCTCTTTATAATTTGGCTTCGAATAAAAGTCTTGACAATTCAGTTCTTCTTCATTTCATAACAGTACTAAACGCCGCCTTGTGTGTTCCAATGAGTAATTTATGAAATGGCAGAAATAACATCGTCATTCTAAAATCTATTGTGTTTATTGCCCTACGATAAAACTGCTTTGTTTTGCTGTTCTTTTCTTTTTTAACACCAAAGATGTAATTTGTACAAATTGTTAATTAATATGTTCAATATTTACATAGATCAACCCATAAAAAAAAATGCATTTTCATAACAAAAGGTTTTCAATATTTACTAAGGGTGCAGTTTGCATACGGATGCATCCGTAGGTGTAGAAGTAAGGTGCACCTTCAAATTTTATCATGGTATATAATTTTGATCTAAAATGTTCTTAGGATTATCTCAAAATCTATTTTTATATCTAATTATAAAATTTTAAATTTAAAAAATGGTTAAAATCAAGTAGAGATCTATAAACATATGAAAATCTTGAGAATGGACGGTGTAAATATATTGTAAAATGCACTATTTCCGAGACTTATATCTTTTTATTTTTCATAGTCATACATCTCGATGTCGAGATGATCAATC